CAGATGTTTAACAATCCAGCCATATGGCTCCAATAAGGCAGCCTTGTCAAAGACTACAAAAACTCCACTAGACACACAGCCCTGTAAATGGGAGTGCAGTCCTGAGGTAGGAATGTTCATATGGCTGCACTATAAAAGGATCCATCACGCTGGGAAGTTGGCATGGCTATTGGAATTACAGAATTTAGGAAACATTATTTAAAATCCTGAAAACAATCCGGTCCCAGATTTGCATAATTCCCTCCAGTCAGCTACTAAAAGCACATTCCTCATTTGGTTTTGAAATTCATTAAAGGTGAGCCTAAAAAATGGGAAAATAAATATATCCAAACATAATAAATATATCCAAACATAATTAATATATCCAAACATAATAATGCCCCCAACCCCTGGCCTGAGTGAAACACCTCTGTGGGTGACACACAGATTCAACCAGTGGGACCAACAATTCCTCTGCAAAAGGATTTGTCAAAGTCAAGGGGCCCTGCTGGTGCTTGTGGCAACTGTGATGTGGAAAGCTGAGCATTGAGAAACAATCTGAGATCAATAACAACTTGGCCAAGAGAGGAAGGAACCATGAAATGGTCAATCCATAACTCTACTGGATTTTGGCAGGTTTGAATGACAGACAAATGGCAGCAAATCAGATTGTTAAATCACTAATCCTGTCATTATTGCATCCTGTCACATTGCATAGATTTAGACATTAGAAAAAGAGTGTAAGGTAGGAGAGTGAAAAAAAACCCACTTAAAAGCTCAAATAGCCCAAGTTTGTGTTTTGTGGCTGGGTTTTTCTGCCCCAGGTCAGCTGTCAGGAGCTGCTGTTTGCAGCCCCAGCTGATGCTCAGGTCTCTGACCCTTTGTTATCCAGAAGAAACATCCCTTCTGTATAAATCTGTTGTGCAAGAATAAGATGAAAATGGACAGACTGAACAAAGCCTTGGTCTCTCAGACAAAGATGCCTCCACTTAGCACACAAGGCATCTTTCCACCTGACATATTCTTAAAGGCAATTACCTTTCAATTACCATCTCCTCACAGGGTAAAAAGCATGGAAAAGCCATGGAATATTCCTTTTTTTTTTTTTTCTGAGCAGCACAGTATTCAGAGATGTTTTATCTACCACAGATACTAATCTAGGCAATATAATTTTAAAACATCCTTACGAAAAACCTTGAAGGGCACTTGAACCCTGTGGTTGTTTAAAAAAAGATTTTCTGCAGTTTATGCATTTGCTCTGCCAAAAGCTTACCTTAGCATACAAAGTACAGTAAATCATCCCTGCTCTGATTTACTGCCCACACTGGGCTGTTTGTTTGCAGGGACGGCTCAGGGAAAAGCTCTGTCAAGTCTAAGAACATTCAGAGAAGGGGAATCATTTTGCAAAGCTCCCACTGTGGCAACAACCTTTTCTAAGAGATCAGGGGAGGGGGAAAAATGCAGATGTGCATTTGCAGCATTTTTCAGGTGGGGTTTTTTTCAATACCATTGCAACTCAAAAATATTCCAAGCCCTTTGGAGGCACGATTTCATCCCCCAAAACTGTTTAGCCTCAGTGCTAAAGGGCTGGCCAACTGAAATTATTGGACTTTGGGCCTGAATTCCACATTTTATGGGGCAGCAGAATACACAGATCTCAAAAAGGCAAAGGAGACAGCAGAGAAGTGGCAGAGAAAGAAGCTCTGGGTCAACTTGGTTATTTAGAACTGAACATAGATTTTATTAGACCTAATCCATTTGGTAAGTCCCAACAGGAGGACAAAGATAAAGCCATATATCTGACATTCCTTTAAAAATGAGTAAATGAGAAGGGAAAAGATCAAAACAGTAGCTGAAAGCCTTCACTCCTGCTTTAACACCCAAGAAACAGTCATTAATAGAGATTTAAACTCAGCCTTCTCTAGTCTAAACATGTCACTGTTAATTACAAAGCTATTTAACTTTTGCAAGACATAAAGACTGCTATTAATGAAAGAAGAACCAATTAGCCTTTAATCTACACACTTTTTTAATCAAACTTTCTTTTGATCATCAGGCTCACTGCAGGATGTTTCCCTCCTCCCCATGTTGTCGTGGCTTCCGTGGTTGCTAATGGAAGAGATTTTAAAGGGCTGCCTGATGGGGAGAACCTCCTCTGCAGGGCTGGAGCTTCCCTTCCTGCCAGGGACAGCACAGCAAAGTGGAATTCTGTGTCCTGACTCCTCTTGGAGCAGCTGGAAGTAAAGGAGCAGCACTGAATGTGTCTGGAGGAACGTGGGACGGGAGAACAAGGAAAGAGCAGAAAATACCAGAGTAAAGAAAAGAATTGGGAAAGGGAAGGAAAAAGGCAAAAGCAGGGAGGTGCCTCCAGGAATGAAAATGGAATTCAGTGCAGACTGCAAAGAATGATGAATGAGAGAATTTGCTTGTTGGCACAGGAAGGTATTGTGGCAAAACAAACCAAACCAAAACAAATGGGATCAGGGCTCCGTGTGTTCCAAACAAATGGGCTGACACAAAAAAGATCCCATCAGCTAAATGCTGTTGTGCCTCCAAACTGTTGCTTGTGGGGTCAGAGAGTTTCAAGGAGGTTTTCTGTTTGTTTTGGGGTGGGTTTTTTTTGCTGTGTGGTATCAAAACAATGAGACCAAGTCTCTGGGATCCATCACGATGGAGAACTTCTCCCCTGACATCATTCCTCCCTCAGCTGCACTTGCTGCTCCCATCTGCAGGCAGGAGAGATGGAGGATGTCCCTGGGGCAGGAATTGTGCTGTGCTGACCACGCAGATAATGAAACACAAGGCCCTGAGTGGTGCACATGTAAACAGCAGAGAAAATGTCACTATTATCTGCTCTGTGTCAAACATGAAGCTCCTGCTCTGACCAGATATCTGCTGCCTGCTCTGCATTAGCAAAACTTTGGTGTCTGCTGCTCTTTCTCCACCATAGAAAGACAAAATTTACCTGGCAGCAGCAGAACACTGAGTATTAATACCAACAGTAAAAAAAAAAAACTACTTTAAAATAAACATTAATGCCCTCAAATAATCAGAATCCTCAAGTAACAAACCTCTGCAGTGATTTATTGTTGCAAGCAGTATGGCAATTAAAAAATAAAAAAAAAAAAATAGAAATCAATAGATGGCAGAGAGAAAAGTCATAATAAATATGCTCTGTGCCAGACTGGATTCTGAGTCACGGAATTCTAGACTGCTATTAATAAAAGTACGTGGAACAACTGCTGAAATGGTATTGACACCTAAGAATTTAGAGGTAAGTACACACTTAACACAGGGAGGATTTCACCAAAGACAATGGGTTACTAGAGATGTTTTTCAGGACTTGAGTAACAGCACTTTGCACTTCAAAAGAGCAAATTATTACTCTTTCTGTAAAATAATTCCAGTGCCTTATCTCAAAAGGCTGGTGATTTTTCACAGTCCAAAGCCCCTTTAATGTAACTGTTTGGCATAAAGGTCATTTAAAATGAGATCAGGGTCCATCCATGTTTTTGAGTTGCTCATGTATTACAATGTAAGCCCAACACAGGAACTCAGATAAAAACATCAACAGATATAGAAAGAAGCAGCTGCAAAGCACAAGGTCAAGATATTTAAACATAGCTAGATAGTTGTACCATTTTCATATTTAAATTATTCCATGGCATTCTAAATCTGACAATAAAAATCGGATTCTGATGCTGATCAGAACCCCTTTGTGTTTTTCTTGTGTTATAATCCCACAACACAAGATCTGGACAAGAAATCCCAGCTCCACTCTCTTTTTGAGCAAAGTGTGGCACATGCAGAACACTCAGAAAGCTGCAATACTGAAAACATGTGACATTTTTAACTAACAGACTAATTGCTGAAAGGTCCATTTGGATTTTTGTCTCCTTCAAACTGGCCTAACACACTCCAGAGCTTTTTATTTAACTCACACAAGGTAGTTGAGACAAAGATCTTCAGAGGTTTGAGAAGCTTTAAAAAGTTAAATTATTGACAGGAACCATGGAAAACCAGTGAGATTTTAACTGTTCTTACCTGGGTAAGAAGTTTCAAAGGTAAGAGCCAGAAACTTTACCCTGCTGCTGCTTAAACTGTGCCATAGTTTATTCCTCAGTGTTCTCAGTTCCCCTAATTTAACATTAGTGAATGCTTGCATTAATTACTCCCCAAAGCAAGCTCACGTTCAGGAAAGCACTGAGGAACTTCATTAACTCCCTCCCCAATGATTTCAGCAAAATCTTACTCAGGCACTTCAAATGCATGTACCTGAGATGACCTGAAACGCTGGGGATCTGCAATTCTGACTGAAACCAGGGGGACCTGGAGGGTCTGAAAATCAGCCCTTAACAGAGTCACAGAATCAACTGGGCTTGAAAAGACCTCTGAGGTCATCGAGTCCAACCTCTGACCCAACCCCACCCTGTCACCCAGCCCATGGCACTGATGCCTCATCCAGTCTGTCCTTAAACACCTCCAGGGACAGTGACTCCACTGCCTCCCTGGGCAGCCCATTCCAATGGCTGATCATTCCCTCTGTAAAGAATTTCTTCCTAATGTCCAACCTAAACCTCCCTTGGCACATCTCAAGGCTGTGTCCTCTTGTCCTATTGCTGGTTCCTGGGAGAAGAGACCAACCCCCACCTGGCTCCCCCTCCTGTCAGGGAGTTGCAGAGAGTGAGGAGGTCTCCCCTGAGCCTCCTCTCCAGACTGAGGCGCCCCAGCTCCCTCAGCTGCTCCTCACAGCACTTGTGCTCCAGTCCCTTCACCAGCTCTGTTGCTCTCCTCTGGACCTGTTCCAGCCCCTCCATGTCCTTCTTGAGCTGAGGGCCCAGAGCTGGACACAGCACTCCAGGAGTGGCCTCACCAGCGCCGAGTCCAGGGGCAGAATCACCTCCCTGCTCCTGCTGCCACACTGTTGCTGCTGCAGGCCAGGATGGCAGCAATACACCCTCAATTTGCCCCCAGCCCCCCCCAGGTGCCCGTGGCTGTGCCCTCAGGCTCCCTGTACATACGGATGCAGTAGTCTCCGCTCTCGTAGTAGCCCGGGCAGCACTGGGATCTCCGCCGGTACATCGTCCTCAGCCCCCTCCGATAGGCGGTTTTATAACTGATCCTAAATCACAGGAGACAAAGCCATTTGACACCATTGAAAATCGATGCCTCCCCTCACAATTATATTTGTGTTAAATTATGGTAAGGAGAGCATTGGATAATTATTTTTTAACGCGCCAAGGCTTTTGATATTAAAAGCCACGATAAAGAAAGGAATCGATGCTTGTTTGGAAACTTGAAATATAACTTGTGTTATGAACACGGGGCTCGTGACACTCAATCACTGGAGCCCTTTCTAGGGCTGCTGCTTCCTTAAAACATTTCCCCAGTCCTACTGCAAGGGCAAGGAGCCTCTTGGAGAATAAATGATTTATTTCTGCACGTCAGCCAGGTCAGCTCTCATCGATGGAATGAACGGGATCTCCTGCAGAGACCACTGTGGCAGCTGCTACAACAAAATCACCACGGTGGGAACTGCTCTCAGGACACACCTTGGCAAGTTAACCCCAAGTGATTTGTTCCTGCTTGTCAACCCTTCCAAGGAACTCGGGCCTTGTAAAGTGACATTATAGTCCCAGTTCAGGATTTAAAGCTCCTCTTCCCCACCACAATGCTGCAGTCCCCAGAAATTAAAAGGTGTGAAGCATTCTGTAGGTTTTCCTCGCTGATTCACAGCATTAGCAGTGATCCCGCATTACAAAAGTTATATTTAAACTGCATATTTTACAGCAAACATTTCAAAACAGCTTTGCTCCTGTTAGTTTATGGAAATTACCTAAATTGAACAAAGCCTATTGTCCCCCGTGTTAGATAAACTGATGGAATTCACTCTGCTGCATTCCAATCTATACAGTGCCCCAGAAAGTTCTGCAGCCTTGTTCAGTTTTAAACACTGTAACACAGAAGCTCCAACCCCACAGTCAGTGGGAAGGTGCTGAAGAGCCCATTTGCAACTGAATGCATGAAAGTTAAGAGACCAACTGGCTTCCAAAACTCCCTAGAAATATTAGTGCATGTTTATCAGGATACTTTGGAACCAGAATGGATGTAACACTGATATCCTGCAGCCTCAGAAAAAAATAACTCTTTGGTATCATTCTTCAGCCAGTGCTAGAAATGGATCCATCCTCATTTTAGCTGATTTTCAGTGCAGATTTGGGTGCAGGATTTCAGATGTGGATCCCTTTTTAATTACCACTAATCCTCAAATGCCTGATCCTTCACAGTTTAGGAGGTGCAGTGAAATTCCCCCCACAAACCTGGACATGCACTGACCACTTGGAAAAGAGAGTTTGGTCAGGTGACAAACACTTCCAATCCCTTGGCAGGGCCAGTGGCAAGGAGAAATACTCCTGGGTGGCCCCAGGAGGGACTGACTACCACTGATTTCACCCAAATTTCATGCACAAATCTCTTTGGAATTCTAAACACCCTGCACTGAACCCCATCTTTCTGTACATATGGAGTAGAGTACCACAAACATTTGGATAAATAAGAGGGATGTGAGGAGATAAAAAGGGGCAAAATGACTCTCCAATGTCTGAATTTCTGGGGATCAGCTCTTACCTGTGTCTGGTGCACTTGAACCAGTTGAGGATGTCTGTGCATCGTGTGTAATAGATCTGATCAAAGGGGTGAGCATAAGATTCCTGCACTGTCACAGCATAGCTGGAAAAGGACACAGAAAGAAAGTTTCAGTGCCCTGGATATGCTGCTCACCAAGGTTCAGGGGGAAAAATAATTACATCAATAATCTTAGAAACTTTGGTCGTTATCAAAGAGCACAAAAGGGCTTCCTTCAACTACAGCTCTTCCTGAAAAGTTTGGAAGTGGAAACTGGTATCAGTATGAGCAATGAAACCAGTTTCTTTTCCCCTTTTGGAAAAGAAACAAATAGTACTAAAATCCATGGAAGTTTAGAAAGTGAAAAGTGCATTTGGTTAATTTATTAGTGCAAATTTTCAAAGAGAGGAAACCACCATGTTTTTAGAATGCCTCAGTTGCCTTCCTGCCTGGAAGTTAATCTTTTTCTTGTGTTCCCCACAGCAATAAGGGCTCACATTCCCTCAGCACTCTGCCAGCAAGATGGGATGCTCCCACTTCATATTGTGATGAAGCAGCACCATTACTTCAAATACTGGGTTCACCAAGCAAATAAAATGATCAGCAAAAAGCAGAAGAGTGTTTATTTTTGTGCTGCACAAATTTAAGCCTCTTAATTTGTAGCAGAAATAATCTCAGAATTACCTGCAAACTGCCACGAGAGGTAAGTGGTGTTTAGATTTGGAACACTGGGACAGAGGGTTGGAATGGGATCACCTCCCCTTGTGCAAATGAAGGGATATGGAGGAAAACTGGGCAATTTGACTGGAAATGAGAACTCCAACAACACTAAGAATTCAGCAATCTCCACCCCAAAACACCAGTCAGCCATGCCACAAGTTCCATGCTAAGTCCTGTGATTATACTGGCAGTGTTTGGGCCTCTCAAGTGCCCCAGGAACCCAAACCTCCTGGAGCTGTGTCAGTCCTTCCAGAGCCTTGTTCTGCCCCACAGGGAGGGTGTGCCCTGCCAGGGGATTCACGTGCCAGGGGCTGACCTGCAAACAAGCCCCACTTTATCAGGGCTCCAATCCACACTGAAATCCTGCCAGGCAGGGCCAGGACCCAGGAATTAGATCCTCTGGGTCACTCATTACATTGATTGTCTTAATCCTCCAAGTGATTTCCTTCTCCTCTGCTGATGTGGTTAAACCCTGAGAGGCTGCACCCAAAACATTTCCTTGGAGGGTCTGACTGGCTTGAAATCGAAGATTGGGCTGTTCCTGCCCTGCTTGTCTTGTCCCCTCCAGACAAGCCAACCCCAGATGTTCCTTTGTCCTCTATCACAGGTTTGACAACAATGTTTTTACTTCTTTAATACCAAAAAGTAAAACATTTACATTGCTCCTTATTAATGTAAAACACTCACAAACCTTGATTATTATTTCCCAATCCCGTTTATTATCCACCAACAGCCCTAACAATCTTTTTCCCTTTGATTTATTAACATCTAACTAACAAAGTCATCTTGGTCAGTACAACCAATCAATTTTGGTATTTAATTTTTGTTTCTCCTTGATTGGGTCCCGAGGTTGCTGACTTTCTTCAGACAAAATCAATATTTTATTCCTGTGCTCTGCATGCACTTCACCTCCCCACACAGACTGCAAATCCCTTCTCCTGCCCAGCCTTTCCTTTGCACTTGCATTACCTACAAACAGTTAATTCCCTAATTAAGGCCTCAAAACCCAGTGTCATTAAAATATGATTCTATTTTTGCTCTTGTGAAGGGGTTTATTTTGCTGAAGTGTACAGCAGTGTGGGATTAACAGAAGTGGAAATTTAGCAAGTTAAACAAGTGCAGGACCTCTGGCCTCTGCAAAGAGCCCCTGCATGAAGGTGAACCCCAGCACAGCTTGGGGGTCTCTCTGTGCTCACAGAACTGTCCTGCTCAGAGCCACTTTTAGGACACTGGAACAATGGAGAGAACAAGAATTACCTGTAAGGGCCTTTCAGGCTCAGGCCTTTCATGCACTTTTTGATGCTGACACGGATTTGGAAGGCAGGGCCACAAAGTTCAGGCCATGCAGAAACAGTCCCAGTGTTGCAGCAGGAAGGGCTTCAAACTTAGTCCAGATCAACAAGTTTTGCTCAACAACAACCAGACAGAAGCAGGACAGAACAAGGCCAGCATTTCTGTAGGTCTCTCCATGATAAATGCAAACAATTCTCCAGCTCAAACTCTGGAGGAGCTTCCCAAAGGACACAACACAGGGATCCATGTTCTGTAGCTGTAGCTTTAGAACAGTTCTTTGGGATGCTCCAAAACCTCCAAGGCGCTCAAAAGTACAATTCCTGTAGAGCAAACCCATGTTCTTTTCTGAGACAAGGTGGTATTTAGCAAAGTGTGGCTCTCAGTTTGCCTTTGAAATGGTCAGCAAAAAAAAATAAAAATTGGCAGGTGACACCTTACCTTTCCCAATGACTACAAACATTTGGATCATCTGGATTTAGGGACAGAGTAGTTTTCAGCAGAAAAGTCAAGATAAGCCCTTTTAGAATCCACTGGAACAGTGTAAGTGCCACCATTGTTGTATCTAGATGGAAAAAAAGAAAGTAGAGCCATTAAAGCCAATTTTGAAGAAAACATCCTTCTCAAGCCTTTTCCTCTTTACTTTTGTGCAAATCCAAATCCTGGGGAGTTATTCACAAACCAAAACACTTGAAAGAGCAATCAACTAAAAAAACATAATTTTTAAAAAGTTCAAATCCATTATAAAAGGAATTTATACATTTCAACCTAATAAACCCAATGAATTAGATGATCAAGCTACCCAAGGTATTGACAGCCCCAATGATTCCTCCAAAGAACATTTCTGATACTGATTGTTTTTATGACTGGCTGGCTGTGCTGACAAATAAATCACTGAGGTATAAAACAATCTGTTCTTCCATCGAGCTATAGGCAAGTGGAAGAACACCCAAATGCCCCCTTTGATTTATTTAAATGGGGTTTACAGGTGTCAATAGAACAGGCTGGGGCTGAGAAATGATTATTGCGTGAAGGAAGGAAAATCAATGCCCTTTTCAGGTCTTAGATGGGGAATCACTTAAAATGCATTGGGGCCCATTATGCAGAACACTGAACATGAATTAAAAATATTTGCATTGAAGCTGAAAAGACATTGTATCAAATTCACTAGGTGTGGGCTCTTCATCATCTTACTGTTCATCTGGTAAATGTACTGACTCACACCTGCTTGGGGCTTTGAAACCAAAGTTGTGGTGTTTGCCCAGAAGTCCCCAATGACTTCAGTCAAAAAATACAAAATACATAGGAAATACAGAGGTGCTTTTAAATGTAACAGCATCAGAGGTGTTAATCTGTAAAACATTCGGTCAGGAAAAAGTATTTTTAAATATCCACTTCAGGCATTTAACGTGGACACATAATTCACCATTCAAATCAGAAGTCCTAGAAATTATTCCTGGCAAGGAGATTGCCCTAAAAATAGTCTGAATGTTCATATGATCATCAAAAAAACACATGGCTCATTGCCTCGTGGTCCTGAGCAGCCCAGGGATGTGAAGAGGTTTGCTCTGCAGGGCACTGATATACAGCCCAGCATAAAGAGCCCATCACAAAGCAGAATGAAGAGCCAGGAAAGCTGCTCTGAAATTACCTCCTGACTCAAAGCCTTCTCAGCTACTTCAAGGACACCCATTGTGAATTTGGAGTCAAAATCCCAGTGGGAGCAATAGTTCATCCTTTAAATTATTCCTCGAGCTCTGCTAAACCCAGAGATAGGTCTTAAGCCATGTAAGTCATATTAATGTTAAGTAACATGATTTAATGTTAATGTTCCTCATGAAGTGGATTTAAGTCCAGCAGTGACCATTCTTTACCTGAGGGCTGTCCCAAAGCCCCACTGGAACAATGCAAAAGCTCCCTCTGGAAATCCAGAGGGCTGATGAGGCAAGGGGGGGTTTGTGGAAAAGCCATTCCCCCCCTTTGCCCTAGGAACTGCTTCTCCATGGAGAAAAAGTGTCCTGAAGTGCCCATGGGACACAAAGCCACCAACCCAATGTTCAAACACTCGGAGCTTGTTGGAGAGCAGAGCTGGACTTTCTCTGAGCAAAACAGGGATCAATGGACATGAACCACCCAAGGATGAGGCTCCTCAAGCTCAGAGACAACCCTTTAACACAAATATCATCCAAAGATGCCTTTAACTATCCCACTGCCACCATTTGAGTCATGCCAAAGTGCAGGGGACAGGTTTTCCTGAGCACTCTATTTATAGGTTTTAACTGACCCCCTTTCTTCCTTCTCCACGGCTTTGGGACAGCCAGGACTGAGCAAATGGGGGAGAGAAGAGTTCACTTCAAGACAACCCTGCTCAAGCAAAAGCAAACCTTCAGAGAGGGGGGGTTTAAATCAAAACTCAGCTCTGTGCTCACCTTAACTCCTTGAGAGCCTCAGCAGTTTGGGTTGGGGCTGAATTAATTACAGGAGGAAAGACAACCTGCCCGGGAACAGGGAATTTATCGCCCGCTCGTCGCCTTCCATCAGTTATCAGCAACTGAAAGGTAAATAATAATTAATTCCAAGTAGAAATCAAACTTCTCCCCCACTCTAATTTCTTCTCCTTCAGTAGCAATTGAAGGTAGTGCCCTTGAGTCCAGGAGAAAGCAAACTTTCCAGAAAGATTTGCTTATAATGCACTGGATGCTGAGAAAGATGCTCTTAAGACCATCCATTCCTGCTGGAAATTACTGGCTTTTTATATTCAATTTTATACAACCTTTATATTAAAGTACTCCCTAAAAAAATACAAATAAATGAGAATAGAGTCCTGCTGCCTCACTCACTCTGAAGAGAATGAGACCTCTCACATTTCACTAAAGCAGCCACATATTTGAATTCTGTAGTTCTCAGAGACCTCAATTTGTTCTTAAGAAAATGATGTGTCAGTTTAGTTTTTAAATCAAACAAACACCACAGAATTATTTATAAGCCTTAATAGCACCTGGCATATTTTTTTGCAATGTATTTGAAAGAGGTTCTAAATTGTTTTCTAAACTTTTAATGCTAATGCCATTTTATTATCTGTTTGTAATGGAACTGCTTTGTGCCAATAATTTCCTAAATTTGTAAGTCAGATCATAGATCAGAACCATCCAACTCCCCAAATTCAGCAGAACCTCATTCATCTCAAGTGTCTCTTTTTGTACCTCAGACGAAATATTTCACTTTGATCACTGTTAATAGAAAAGCCCTCACACCAAAATGGAATGGTTGCTATTACAAGAGTCAGAATAAAACTCTAAAAATAGGAGCACATTTATTAAAAACCAACATCAAAAAAGAGCCCAGTAATGACACCTAATAGTGGGTTTGCAGCTTGCCTTGCTCACCACAGCACACACTGAATTCCTGCCCTGGGTCATGTCCTCCAAAGAGGAGCATCAACCAGCCTTCCAGGGGGACAATTCCTGGAATGTCATTAAAGATACAGCCAAATTATATCCATATTTCCAGGGCCTGCCCCTCTCCCAGGACAGGCAATCAGCATAATTGACACAAAGGTCCTCTGTGTAATCCCCACGTGGACTCTGACTTCATGTCTCTCCAGGGTTGATTTTTCTTTTCAGGAGTGAAAGGAGTCAATTTAGGTACAATTTAGCAAGAAAGAGACTCTTTCAATGCAAAATACAACCTGGTGTTCTTTCACAAGTGTCTCACTCGCTGTTAATTAGAACTCATCAGGTATCTGGTGCTCATTAAGGCCATTTTCTCATACCTGGCTCCTTTCTGAATAAATGTCAGTATTTCACTTACAATACTGATACAGGTCACTGGTTCCATCACAGAAAAAAAGCCTCAAATCTTAACTATAGGAAATCTTGTAGGTGGCAAATTATTAATTTATTTGTCTATGGAGTCACTTTACAAACACTTTTGCTGAGGAAACTGTGCTGGGGTTTGCAAAGACACCAGGAGATGCAGATGATCCTTTAAATTAGACAACCATGTGGCCCATGTGCAAAGAAAATAGGACCTCAAAGAATCCTTGCTGGGTGAAATAAATAACCTATAAAGCTTTTTCTGGGTGCTGAGGACCTGGTTTTGGTCACATTCTTATGCACTTTAAGTGGCTGAGGGGAGAAAAAGCAAACCAAAACCACAGGTTGAATTTCTCCTCTGCTTCCCTGGCTGACAGGCTGGAAAATCCAACTAAAAATGACCATTAGAGACTTTCCTGTTCAGGGCCAGAGGTGGTGAAACATTTCACTTTGCCATCTCTGTCATAAAATATTTCATAATGTGACTTTGACATGAAATTCAAACAGAGTTTCCAGTCTATGACAGAGTTCTAAATTGAAAGCTTTTCTCTCAATTTGGGGTGAATTGTGCTCTAAGCCAGGCAGAAAACCCTAATTTGATGTCCAGCTGTAAACAGGGAAAACATTTACAGAAGTGGCTTTCCCTAGCAGGCAATATTCTTAAATCCTGGTGTGCTTTTGAAGATGTTGAAATGTCCATGCAGCCAATTAACCTTGCCAGAATTTTTCCCACCAGTTTCCAAGTGATGTCGTGTTAAAAGTCTTACCTCAAAGTGCTAAAAATTCCCAGTGGATCCTGTTTTTACTCCTCCCAGCCCATGGAGACACCCAGCACATTCCCAGGATAGCAGGGGAAAGCTCCTGGATGCTGCTTGGCCCTGGGAAGCATGAATTAGGAAAACACTGGTCAGAGGGAGCGTGTTTGGGGGAGTGGGAACAAATCAAGGCAGAAAGGAGATAAATCATGGTAAATAATTAGATATCCCAACGTAATTGTGCCATATCACACCCAATACCATTATCCTGCTTCCAGGCAAAGTGACCAGGAAAGGATTTAAGAACAAACATCCCTTTTACACCCTCCCAGCCTCCAGAAATTTGTTTCCTTATCATTTCCCACAACACTTTGTTTACATAAGGACTTTTCCTTGTGTTAACATCCCAACAAGAAAGTTTCATTTCTTTCAGGAAGTCTGATGAAAGACCTTGCAAAAGCCTTCCGGAATTCTAACAGCATCTTCTTGATCCACATATTTCCTTCAAAGAGCTTTAACAACTTATGAAGCCTTTACAAAGCCATGTTGAGTCTTCATAAACATATTATATTTATCCAGATAAATCATTTTCTGTGCTGAATTACAGTTTCTACCAAATGTGCACCAAAATTAAAACGGGTGCTAGTATTTGGGTGTGAGCAACGGAGGAAAATGCAAGAGAATAGTTAAGCCAGGAAACAAAAAGTTGGGATTTCACTGGAGAAGCATTAAAGCGACGGAGGATTTGCTGATTCCAGGATTTCAGTCTCTAAGTAGCAGCAAGCTTCCAACAAGCTGCCCTTGGTGCTATCCCTCCTTCTCATCCCATCTGAAATTTTCATGATAGTTTAGGCAAGGGATCATTTAAACACACACTTCATTTGGCTCCACAGCAGGTTTTGCTCGAAACAAGCTGTTATGAAAGCTAAATGAGGCCACGAGTTTCAAAACTCATCGGGGTTTTTTGGATGCCTCCATTTAGGATTAATAACTTGAGATACCACGAAAGGGCTGGGAAAAAAAAAAAAAGCAGAGCTTGGGATACCTGCTAAGAAGAGCTTGTTTTACTCTGGGCAGTCAAGAACAAATCCATTCAACCTCACCAGTCACCTCTAAAAGTTGTTGTCGTGACCAACAGAAATATTGCCAATGACAGGCTGCGGTTTTGTTTGTTTTTTAATGAAAATTTAAAGCTGTTTTAAACAGATAAACACTTCCAGGAAGGCTCAGGTACAGAATACAAAAACACTGACAATGTGATTCTTATCATCTGAGCACAGAGAAATCCAAGGGATGGAAGAAGGAGCAGAAACACCAGACTGTGCTCTGGGTTCCCTCCACTGGCATCTCACACAATTAACGAGGGAGACGGGAGACAAGAATTAACATGTCATTAACATGGCTCGGGAAATGAAAGAATAAAAGCAAAATTCAGAGGTTTGCACAGTTTAGAGGGCAGACATCAGGTACAAAGAGCTGCACCCTGAGTCCTGTTTGCTCAGTCTCAGCAGCCCCCACCTCTGCTACATCATTCCCTAAGCAGGAGCTGGTCAGCACCAAGGAAGGAACCAATTCCATTTCCCAAGATGTCATTTTAGAAGGTTTTTCTTTAAAGCACACCAGGGTCCCAACTGCTGCAGTGCCCTCATGACCCCCCCTCACATTCTTTGAACCACAGTTGCTCAGTTTTCCATAACTGGGTGGGGGGCTGATTTCAGTGGGATCTGAACATCCCAATCTCTTCAAACTTCTGAGCTGTAAAATACCCCAGTGGGAGCTGCAATTGGTGCAGTGAACACTGTTACAGTGCCACGGAGAACTTATGGAGCCTGAAGATCTGCTTTGGTGGTAACACCCTCACCAGCTGATTTCTGGAGTCACTGGGAGCTTGGTTAGAGCAAAGCAGGAATAAATAATGAAGTCAGAGCTCCTTGACCTATCAAATGTTATTTTTGGAAGCTCAGGATTGTTCCTTCAGTGACCTCAGAGGAAAAGTGGGTCAAAATACCACAGAGACATGTCACTAGGCAAGGAATCTGGGCAATTCCTTTAGTTATGGCTAATGAAATATGTTTGTCAAGACAAGAGTCTCTGTCTGAGACTGTTTAAATCACACTGGCAAAGATTTAAGCCCTGGTGGCAGAGTGGGTTGGGCTGAAGTGGTTCAAATTCCACAAGAATTCTGCATCCAGTGTTTTCTGTAGGTCAGCACTGAGCCTTCAGCCACAGCCACCAATAGCAGCAGGCCTTGGAACCTCAGGTGGAATTTAGGACACACAAGTTCCCAAAGTCTCAGTATCTTCCAGAGGGGAAGAGCACAGGCTGTCCTGCCAGGTGCTTTAAAAATCAGCTTATCACAAACTGAAAGGTGATTAGATACTGAAGCAACAACGTGTAAACATGTCTGGCATTTGCCATCCACTCTGTGAGATCCACACCAACACACACAGAGAGATGCAGACCCAGGATTTTGTCAGCATTACACAAACCCCACCAGCCCTTGTGCAAAGCACAACTACCAACCCAAAGAGCTATTATTCACCACCACACTGAATTTCCTTTTCTGAAATAATTGAATAGTTAATCAATAGTCCAGCAGAAATATAATGAAAATATTACATTAACAACACCTAAAAACATTGCTGAACCGGTGCCCAAAGCCAGATAACTGCTGGCTCCTTTTCAGGAAGGTCAGCTTGGAAAAAGATTATCTGTGATTTTCTGCCCATAATTTCGTACTTGTACTCAACTACCAGTGTAAATTTGGAAGGCAGCCCTTTGAACAGTTGGCCCTTGAAGTTATTAATCCAAACTCAGGCCCCCTGAAACCCTCGTGTTCCTCCCAGTGCCCAAGCCCTGGGCTGCTCTTCCAAGCCCTGCCAGTCCGGACAGGGGATGGTTGATGTTCCAACGGCGCTTCCTGCCAAAAGCAAGTTGGTGTTGGCAGGATTTGAGAGCAAAATCCTGGGCCTCTGAAGTATTTCAAGAGAAAACAACCTCCTGCAAGCTGAGAGATCCTCCCGGGGCAGCTTTCTCTGAACCCTCTCCACTAAAACACGGTAAACAAGGAAAGTCTGGAAGAGCCACTTTGTGCATTTGGCTGCTCAACCCTCTGCCCTGATCCCACCATCCCAGTGCTCCTGGAGGGATGGCCAGGGAAGGCAGGCAGGCTCTGATACCCCTCTACTGATCCCAGTCCTCTGCTCAGTGGAATGTTAAAGCTGCTGAAGCTGTTTGGGGAGTCACTGGCTCCTGACTGAACAGTATATTTATTTTTATATATATTTATATCCCCTATCCCATGAATATTCCCGAGATGCCTCCAACAGACATTCCTTCAGAAGAGAAAGGAGCTGACACACATCAAAAAACCTCAACTCCTGAGAAGCCAAGTGAGCTTGAAGTGAGCTCACACGCAGCCACCCACCCAAACAATTGCAACATGGGCTTCCTCAGACACTTGGAGAGCCACAACAGCCTCGTGTCCCCAGAACACCCAGGATAAATAAAGCAAACATTTTTCTAAATATTCTAAATATTTAGTTAAAAAAACCCAACCATTTATTGCAAGTGAATTTTTCACAGCATTGAAAGAGTGCACATGAAGTTGACCTGAAAATGGGAGTAAGGAGCAATGAAATCAAAGGGTGTTCAATAGACACACAGTGAAATAAATAAACTGTGATTCTCTGAAAGTCAGGAAACAAAAAAAAAAAAAAAAAAAGTGGTTTGAAAATGTAGAATATCTTTTATGGTTATATATTTTTTAAAATTACTTCTATTTGTCAAGAACAATTGGACCCTTCTTTTTGTCTTCATTTATCTCAGTGGAAAATAAAATGGAACAAAGCAAAAAAGTCCCAAGTACAGTGAACAGCTGAGCCAGGGACAAATTAAGTAACACAGATTGATGGCTGTTGATCTCCAGCAGCACCATCACATCCCAGTGCTACAGCTCATATTTCATTTAAAGACCTGTCTCTCCTTTTCCAAACAGTGCAGTATTTCTGGGAGAAGGTTGATTTGCAAGCCTTGGAGCTGCACTGAGAATCCAGACTCAGTTTTCCCAATTTGGCTTTAAAGTTGGTGGATTCCTTGAACTTTTGGGGTACCAACTGAAATAAAGCAAAACCAAACACTGGGATAAAATGAACACTGAAGCTGAATATGAATTTTTTTAAAATGCTGGTTTTTATCTTCAGTATCTTTATAAAACAGGAAGGAACCAATGTTTGCTACCTCTTCCTCTCTACCTTTGCTGACCCCACTGGTCCAATATGTTCAGCTGCTCTCCTGGGGGTTTTCCCAGAGTTTTATCCTCCCTGGCATTCCCTGCTACAGCAGCACGTGGATGTCCCTCTTCCCACATTCCATTTTCCTCTCAGCCTCTTGCAATCTTCACCTAAGAGTTTTTAACTCCATAGATACTGAAGGCATTGATAGCCCATGCAGAATATAAATTTTTCTACAGATGTCTGTTAAATATAAATGTTAAATCAATTTTTACATTTCTAATGGCTTAAGAATTAGAGCGGCCACGTAAAAACTGCCAATTTTACTTGAAATAAAAGAGCTTTCCTCCGAAGCTGCAACAACCCTTTGTGTTTTCCTGTGTTTCTTACAGGACATACATGGAGTGGCATCAATACTGGAGGGTTGGTATTTGGTTCAAGCATCTCAAAGCTAAAAGCCTCAACTTTGGGGTCCAAAAAATGTACCTGATTTTCAGAGCCCAAATCTCTGTCTGAGAATCAGGGTGGTCACTCAGCTGCCTGGCTGGAAACTCCTGGATTTGGGCATCCAACATGGAAAACAGGCTGAGCAGATGTACCCTCCTCTAGGACACAGAGCTGTGCCATGGAGAAGGTCCTGGTGTGGGAAGGTCTTTGCAATCCCTGCTGGTCACTGCTATGAGGGGGAAAAGAGCTGCAGAATATTGCTGCTTAACTATTCACAGTGCCTAAAGCTCATCTCCCAAAAAACACCTCTGAAGGAGGCTCAAGATGCACAGGAAAATGTGAGGTCATTTATGTCCCAGCAAGGCAAGACTCAGACCCCAAATCCCTTTCCAGGCCTTGACTCCCCTGTGAACCAGGACGGAGAGTGCTGGGCCTCAAGGGGTC